CTGAAAGTAAAACTGAAGTATAGTTTAATTATCAGTTAACCTGTTGGGCAGGTTAGTTAGTTTTCCCCACCTTAATGTTGTGCTTGTCTTACTGTACATGCTAGAAATCCCAAATCATTACTGTGACAACTGACATTTCGAACTTTCCACAAGCCTGTAGTGATGTAACATTTCTCCACACGTCCTGCAATTCTGAAATACTCTGCAGGAGTGTGTTGAAGGGAAACTGATAGCTGTTTCTTACCCAGGGCTTTCTCTTGGTACCAGCAGCAGGGTTGGTTGTAGCCGCGGGGTTACCCCAACAGCAGGTTTCTCAGCTGCTGCTAGCAGTGTTTGGTAAGTACAGAGATAGAAGAGTGTCACTGGTAAGGCCTCTAATAGCTGGAGGGCTGTGCAGCAACTGAACAACTTGCCTTTTGAAAAGAAGTATAGTCAAATCTCAATAGCATTGTTCATCTAGAAAGATAATAATTAACTTTCATTAGTGCTATTGTTTTGAAGTTTTATTAAGCAATAGGAATTAATTGAAAAAGTAACTGGAGCATTTTACCTAATTCCTAAAAGCTTACGTGTGAAAGCATGGTAGGTTAACAGGAACATTAGACAGTCATTATGTGCACACATAGAATTATAGAGTAGTTAGGGCTGGAAAGGACCTTAAGATCATCTAGTTCCAACCCCCCTGCCATGGGCAGGGACACCTCACACTAAACCATGTCACCCAAGGCTCTGTCCAACCTGGCCTTGAACACCACCAGTAAAGAACTTCCTCCTTGTATTCAATCTAAACTTCCCCTGTTTGAACCCATTACCCCTTGTCCTATCACTACAGTCCCTAACGAAGAGTCCCTCCCCAGCATCCCTATAGTACCCCTTCAGACACTGGAAGGCTGCTGTGAGGTCTCCATGCAGCCTTCTCTTCTCCAGGCTGAACAGCCCCAGTTTTCTCAGCCTATCTTCATACATTCATATTCTGTACTCATACTTTCAGTGTATGTGTGGGGGTGAGGTTATGCCAGCCATTGTACAACCGAAGTATCAGAGGGGTTTGTAAAGAAGATTAGAGTTGGCTTCTCAAGTGAGTTTGGAGTGCTTCAAAGGATGCATAGGAAGTGAGGGGGAAGAGTTCTCGCTAGTGGTTCTGCAAAAGAGAGCAGCATCTCTTTGTAAATAGGAGTTTCAGTTTAAGATCACTATTAAGTACAGCACTTTCAGTTAACTAGAGCGTAAACTAGTGCCACTTCTCAGAAATTGCCTCAAAGATTTGTATGGCACAGTGGGGAAGAGGAGATACTTGTATTTGAGGATTGCCTTTCCTTCCCTGAGCTTTGAGCTGGGGAGCAGTGGCGCTGTTGTGAGGGATTGCTCTGAGACCTGTGCCGGAGGAGGACTGTAAGCCTCTGAAGAGGTGTCACCTAACCTTTCAGCATAGGGGATCTTCTTATGCACGGACAAGCTGCTTCTCTCTTCTGCCTGGTTGGGGTGATGAACAGTTCCAGAGGCTTACTTGGGAGCAACATGGTAACAGGATTTTATGATACCGGAATGAGTTTTTCCTTTGCTGCCCAAGTGACTTGGGTAATGCATGGTTTGGGAGTGGGGAGTGGGGATGTATGTTGGGGGTGTTTTTGCTTTTCACTTTAGGGATATGCTAGATTTTTATCATTGCCTTTGTTTGGTTTTCCTCTTTCACAGCTTTAAAGCTGCATAATAAATACAGTGATTTCAGGATTTTTCAGCGTTCTGGACAAGAGCTGCATTAGGAAAGGCATATTTTATAGGAGCAGACATTTTTGATTACAGTAAAGTTCTATTTGCTGTTACACACCTGTTGCTCCCTGTGCTGGGATTGCTAAATATAACTGGGAAGGAATTACCAAGACCTTCTAGTGGTTGCAACAAACTGCAGGGGGTATGTGGTCTGTAGTGGACAAATTACTGGCAGGTACTTTTGTTATATATGACATCCCGTGGCAATGCGTTCCACAATTTATCAAACATTGTGTGAAATACCTTTTGTTTGAAGCATGTTTGCATGATGTTTTCCTTTATTCCCTCCTTGTTTCTGTGGGAGACAGGGAAATACTCTTTGTTCAGGCTTTCCATAGTTTTCAAACATGATGCATAATTTGGAAGGTATAAAGCTATATCTTCTATTACGTGTTTCCCTTGCGAGTTTATCCTTGTCTTCAAACTTTACATTTTATCACAGTTACTTTCTCTCTTCTACCTTTTCTTGTTATACTTTATCTTTGGGTAGGACAGCCACAACTGTGTTATTCGGCTATTAGAAAATGGTATTTGTGGGGGTTCAGGAAGGGAACAACAAGTCAAAGAGTAGATTTTCTGCAAATTTGAGAGAAGGCAAAGAAGAAAATTTCAATTGTTGTAAATGGACTTTTATTCAGGTTCAGAGTTGTACATTTTTAGGTCAAGGAGTTCTGGCTTAATCTCTGCTTGTGCAGCATCTTTTTATGTCTGTTGGAGAAAATGTTTGGGCCAGTACTGCATCTTTTCAGCTATTTTGTTAAGTGTTGTATCCTAGAGACAAATGAGGCCAGTAAAAGGCAATACACACTCAGACACTTGTTATTTAAAACCTATCTAGCAGTTGGCTGGAATTACTTACTGTATATTTTATTGATATTGCACGCAGTTGTTTAAAGAATCTGGCACTTGAGCATCTGAAATTTTATGATCCGTATGTAATATAAATTTGGCAAGTTTTTTTTTTCATGAATGGTATAAAATCAAAGAAAACAATATCATCACTTACATCTTGCTTATATAAGATAAAACAGAAGAAAAAGTGCCCTAGCCGTCAACTGCTTTTTTGCTTGCTATTTACAGAATTCTTTTTTACTTTTATACTCCAGATCTGTATTTTCTGTGAAAATGTTTCTTTGCATGCTTGCTTGGACCTGCTTTTAAAAGAGTTGCCTACTGTGCTGTTTATACAACAGTATCATTAAAGCAGTAATCAAGAAAGGGCTTAACTCTGGAATTAATATTTAATTGCTTCTGTAGAACATTGCTCACGTATCATTTGTTGTGCTTCCTTGACAGTGACAGAATGGTTCCTTTATTTTCTGTTGGGGAACCATAACAACGAGCCTGTAGTTGAGGGTTTCTTTAGGGTCTTGTCACTGCAGGAAGAGGGTTTGTGCCTCCTGAGACAGCAGAAGCTCTGCTGGTGAGGCCAGTTTGATGTCCCTTGCTTCATGCTACATTTGTGTCTTATGCCAGCAGGATTAAGGTCTCAGTTTAGTCGTAAACACTCTGTCATTGCTTCTGTCTGTTGTCTGGCAATGTTCAGATTTGCACTTTTTTATTTAATTTAGCTTGTATGTTGCAAGCTTTTAAGTAGGTGTTTAGGGACTAGAAAGATTTGGGATATTCCTAGAAAACGAAAATAATAATCTGTTCTTATAATTTACCCCTGCCCCATGCCCACTTCCATAATTTTTGCTGTTATTATTGAGGAACTAAATTACAAAATTTTAAGAACTGAATAATCCTTCCCTTAAGTCATTGATGAGAAGAATTATTTTCATTGGGTTTATCCCTCAAAAGCATAAAATATTTTGTCGTTCTCTCAAGAAAATAAGGGCAGTAGACATGGTGTTAAAATGCAGCACATAAAGTCTAATCAGATCCTGGCAATGCAGAGGTGTTTCTCAGGTAGACTTACGGATCCTGGCCTCTGTCTCTCCGCAGTGAGCCCTGGCTTCAGTGAAAGAGTATACTCTCAAGAAAAGTGGCAAGGAGAAATCTAAGCAGTCTGAGGGAGTAAAGTACTCCATTAAGTCGTCTTTGACTCTTCTAATTCCCTATGCCATTCTAGGTCAGCAAATTTTTAGCCCTACCACCATGGCCTTCTGTTACAGCAGTTTCATATATCTTTATATACTGTAGGGAAGATGCGTTCTGTGGCATAACACAAAGCCCTAGCTGCATGCTGGGAACGTTTTGAGATAAAGCATCTAAGCAGAGAACGGATGAAGCTGTGGCAGACTGTCTGGTGGAGTGACTAGGACTGCAGATTGTATAGTGGAAAACTTGTGTCTGTGTATCAAATGGGAGGTTTGCATTGGTCATTCAGTGTTTTACCTGACAGATGATGGAAAAATTACAGAATTTTAGGGAATCCTTTCTTCATGAAGAAAAGTTTTAGTGGACAGATCTTAATAAGCAGCTGTAATAAGATGAGAGGCATAACTTGCCCCCTGGGGAACTCCAGGGGCAATCAGTGCCGTGGGAGCAGAAAATTACAAGCCTGGGATTCACAGCCAGAGATGATTCTTAAGCTGTCTGTAGAACTAGTAAAGACTCTTGATTAATTTAACATGTGTATTTGGAAAGGTGTGGAGGGGTAGGATTTCTGAGTCGTGGAGGACTTTGCACTGCAAGTTTTCTGAGAAGACTTTCGTATTTGGAAGATGTGTTCTTAGCTGAATTTATTTCCAGTAGCAGTGTAGGTGGAAGGGAAACATCTTCCTTAGGTATGATTTAGAAGTGATGTTTAGACTAGAAGGGTAATTCCTGCTAGTAACATGACAATGCATAATAATTGGGTCATATCTACATTTCAGGTGGATCAGGTAGCTGGTTTGCCTTTGACATCATAATAAAGGGAGATTGTTGTCGGACTTTGCCTGGCCTGAATAAGGAAGTAGTCCAGCAAGAAGAAAGTAATTCTTTCATGGTTTTGTACCACAAAGATTTTCCTGTTCTTTTTTTCCAGAGGGAAATTGAAAAAAAATCATGAACTATAAAAAATTGTCATTTCACTGGCTTCTGAGTCAGGTAAAGGTTTAAAGAGAGAGAATGAAATAGTCTTTCATTGGGCAAAGAGAAAAGGATTTAAGTAGTCACAGAGCAATGAATTCCATCAGTGCTATGGAGGTATTTTTACCTTGTTAGGTTTAGTCAGTTTAGACATAATCTGAATTTAAAACATAATTAAACTTGTAACTGTATATTGTCTCCTTTTTTTGCAGGTTTGCTGGTCCTCTGACACATTTCAGAATGCCACTGGTAAAAAGGAACATAGACCCTAGGCACCTGTGCCACACAGCTCTGCCCCGAGGTATCAAGAATGAATTGGAATGTGTCACCAATATTTCCTTGGCAAATATAATCAGACAACTGAGTAGCCTAAGTAAGTATGTTGTCCTAATAGCTGTGTTTAGAACGAATATGCTTTACTGTCACAGTTTTTGTGGTTGAAGTAGGAACACCTATTGCAATCTCCAGTAGAGAATTGTGGCTGAGCCTTGAATGTACTCCTTTTATGGCTGGTGACTAGCATGGACTTGTGTTCTAGAAAGCTAGGAATTTTTCCAGCAGCACGTTATTTCTGTTACCAGTGAAACATGCCAGAAACAGATACATGGTAGTTGATGAAGTCAGTCAGTAATTGTTAACCTTAGAGCAATTCTTGATTAGGGAATATGGCATAATGAGGAATATGTCACTGGGGGCTTAATTCTCTTAACTTAAACCCTTGGTAATGTTGTGGTCATTCAGAAAATAAAGTAGTTGGCTTTTAAAATAATAAAGCCAGAAATATAATTATTACATAGTATTTCAAACATCTGAAGATTTTTCTTCCTCCTTCTCCCTTCTGGCAACATTTTCTTTTTTTCTGTCGATGCATTTGAGAGGAGTGAATTTCTCAAGCTCTAGAACTCTAAAGGAGCGTTTCTGAAAAGGCTGGTTCCTGGATTGTTTTTCTTTAAGTTACAACAACTTGAAAACAACCCAGCTTTATTCATATTTGACCTTAAAAAAACCCAACAAACAAATCACTTGGCTTTTCAATTTTAAAGAATACCAGCGTCTAACTCGACAACATAGTGTCGGCACTTAACCTGTTGAAATTTGGCTGCCTTTGCTATGTTTTCTTGGTATACAGAGCCTATGGCTGATACTGTGTATACAGCTGCTCAGGAGGAGGTCAGAATGAAGCAGTACCAGAACAGGAAGAATTCAACTAAAGGAGAAAAAAATATTGAAGAATAACCATTGAGTGCTCCCATGTTTGTCATATGGCTTGCTGAATGCATAGCATAGTTAGAGTGGTGCTTTCAAGGGTGTGCAACTGTAATTACGTAAACTCATTTTCGTAAAAGGAATGTGGTGCTATGTGAAGTGTGCACACGGGAGATGAGACCTAAATGAGCTGTTTTCACTTGAGAAGAGTTTCTGTCATGAACTTGTGACTCACTTGTGGTCAAAAAGGCATGTGACGTTGGAAATGACAAGAGTGGTAAAAGAGGAGGGAAAATGCACTCATTTACTGTGCAACAGCAAGCCCAGAATAGGTCTTTTAGATTTTTTTACTGATGAGCAGGACCTGTTATTTCAGTCTTCTGTTCTTCCCTCCATATAGCATCATGGTGTTCGTAGACTTTCTGCAGGCAGTATTTATATCAACTGAAGCAAGTTCCTGTTTTATACTCTGCATGTTTTCAAAAAAAAAAAAAGCGGGGGGGGGGGGGGGCATCATGTTACAAAGGCATGACTATTTGTGAAAGTATTTTGTTCCAGAATTCTTTAGCTTTTTTGCTTGTTTGTGCTAGCAACAATACAAATTCAAAAAGATTTGGGAGTTCTGCCATAGGAATTTTGTCTCTCACATGCTTAAACCCAAATAACTAATCTAAAGTCGTGTGTCACTGTTACCAGTGTGTAACAATGTTAGCAAGGGCTGCTGACATGCAAATAAATTTTAGTAGTTGCCTGTGAGTCACAACCACCATGCAAGATTTCATAGCAGTCACCTGGCAACCAACTTCTCTGTAGGCCTCCCTTTTTGTTTGTGTGTATGTTTGAGAACCAGCATTTAAATTGCAGACTCTCAGAGCAGCAGCTGAGTGTGCTGGTAGGGCTTCATTTTCTTTAAAGCCGCTTTTGCTTTTGATGGTAAAGTTATGCAAATTGAAGTGAATGGTCTTTGACCTAATTAGCACATAGTCATTTCTGCCTCTAAAATTTTTCAGTTACTGGCCCTCAGATAGAGAGAGGATTAATCTCCCGACATTATGACTCTCAAGGCCAACCATTCTTAAGCTTTCTTCTGTTATGATATGGACAAAGAGTGCTGTGGTGGAATTAGAGCCTCAAGTACTTTAAAGGATCTTGAAAAACATCATGGAGTAAAGCTAAGTGTAGAGTTTTTCATATAAGTCTTTAGATCACCATTCTTGGAGTTATTAATGACTGGATTGGTCAAACAACTAGAGCTGATTGGACCCGCTTTGAGCAGGGTGTTGGACTAGGTGACTTCTGGCGGTCTTTTCAACCTGAACTGGGGTATGTTTCTATGATCTTGGATACTATATGTAAGTAGGATAGGCATGCAGAAACAATACCCATTAAATGACAGGAATTCTGTTTTGCTGTGTTTTTATATAAAATGAACAGAGCTTTACATCCGTATGTCAGGAGTAGTGTTATGTATGCCAGTATGCTATGTGTCTCCAGACAAATTCTCAGTCTTTTCATAGTTTATTTGATGTGTTGCTTTTAATTGTTCAGTTTGAGATTTTTTTTTTGACCTTTAAAAGAAGTAGAGATGAAAGAATGAAATATGTGTTTCCCCTTTGAGTGGTAGTCCTTGTGTTTCTCCCTGGAGCATGAAAGCATATCAGTCTGTCTTGATACAACATACAGTATTGCCAGTAAGTAATTATTTTTTTTTCCCCTGTCTGTTCCCAGTCTTTTCTGCCTTCATAAAAGGCTCTGTCTTCTGACAGCTTTTCTTAGCACTGTGGCGACAGAAACTCTCTGGACAACAGCAACAGATGTCTTAGTATCCTTGCCATTCTTCCCTGTATTTCTTGCTTGCTGACTGTATCTGCTTTGGAAAAGCAATATTGCTTACCTACTTTTTTCAGCAATATTGCAGGTAATTAGTACACCAGTGCTGCCGGAGTTGGCATATGTTGGTGTATGTCAAGTCTACAGCATTTCAGCATACATGAAACACAACTGATAGCGCTGTGCAGCTGTGCTGTTGTTAGAAGATGGGTAAATAGTTCTCTTCTGTGCATGCAACCTCTTCATTTTGTTCATAGCCATTGACCAATCTTGCTTATCCTTTTATTCATCAGTTCCCTGTACACAGAATCTCGATGACACGTAAGAAATGTAACTGATGGGGTTTGTTCTTAGCCCTGGTCTCTGACACCTCCATCTGGGGAGGAGAACATTTCTTCTTTTGAGTATGTTCCTTTAATGAATATTTATATTGTAGACATTCAGACCAGAACTTTTATTCAATTGTAGCAAGATATCTTTTCCTTTTTTTTTCTTCGAACTCTGTATAGAGAATGCTGCATAACTGTTTGCAAAGCTGGAGTGCCTTTTCTGTTAGTGAAAACAACTTTCAGTTAATATTGAACCTTTAGTAGCCTTTCCCCTCTTTCTGTCTTTTCTTTTTACTATTTCCTATTTTTACCAAGTTCTCCTAATTATTTCTTTCCTCATCTGTTAGTTTTCAGGGGTGAAACCCTAACTTTCAACATTATTTCTCCTCCTTTTTTTTCCGCTCTTAGGTGCTTTTAACTTCCATATTTATTTGTGTTTTGTTTTTTTTTTGCTTACTGTGCCAACCCCTAGAGGGTTTTTAATCGTGGCTTATCTTGTGAGAGACATTTTCTCACCTCAGGACAACCTTCAGTTTGTTGTAGCTTAAGGTGTTAACATTCAATAAGCAGGAAATGTTTCTCTAGAAACATTTAGCAGTTGTCTGGACTGCAACTGATCTTTAGAATCAGGCCTCTTCAGCTCAAAGACCACCCTCTCTTCATCCTGTCTCTACAACATCTCAGCACATGTGAGGCCCCTGCATATTGCATTGTCAGAGGTAGGTCTCTACAGATCTGCAGCTAGAACTTCAGTCAGTGTTCCAGAACCAGCAGAATCTCTGGGAATCCTCCTTTTCACTGTCCTCACAAGCATATTGAGTATTCTCCGTAGGTGTTATTCATTAATCATTCCTTTCTTCCTTATTACTATAATTGCCAGAGAACACTAGAGAAGGTGTTCTTAAACACATGGGCTAAGGGAAGTGATGGACTTGAAAACTAAAGGCTTATTCAGCTCTTCAGAGACACACACAAACACACACACCACACATCTTCTCAAATACTTCTGCCTAATTTCTTGATGTTGTCTACCCAGCAGTGGCAGTATCGGCAATGTGATGCTCTTTCGTGTCTATCTTGTATGATAATGAGGGGATGAGCAAATGGTCTGTGATTTCTCATGGAAAACAACTGTGAATTAGCAGAAAGAAGTCCTTTCTGTCATTAATTCCTTGCCTCCGTAGAGCAGTGAATTCAGGTGATATTAAAAAAGGAAGAGCAAGACTTCCCTGTGAAATGATCTTTAGGACCGGTACCTTCAGCATCAGGTTCAGCTCTCAGCAGTCTCTTTCACAGATTTCTGAATACCTGGATAATCTTGGCCAGTTTACTTGATGGTGTCCTCAAGTGGGAGATAAGAAATGGTATCTCAGACCTCCAGGACTGGGGACTTTTGAAGGCTCATTTTCTTTTTGGTTGTCAACAAGAAGCATCAGACCTGCTTCAGAGGTGACCTTTAACAGTTTATTTGGTATTTATGATAGCCTGATAAGGTTGTCTGATAAATGCCTGGCACAGTTTTGTTGGCTAAAGGAACCAAGTTGCCTCTTCAGTACTCTGATATTCCTGTAGTCCTTGAATCCAGTCCTTGTGGACTGCCCTTACACCTTCCTAATGTTAAGTTCCTAATGAGCATCATTGAACTGTATTTAGTACTTTGTTCTTCAGAGCTTGCTCAGCCATAGTCACTCAAGTTCTCAAGGATCTGTCAAGGTTCTTATCTCCAAGCCTGGGAGACAGTTCAGTCTCCTGGCTTTCAGTCCGTTTCCTACCGACTGAGCTGAGCAATTGAAATGATCCGATGAGAAACAAACCTGGAGTTTCAAGTGAAACTCAGATATACTTAGGTTTTTGCTAAGTTAGATAAAATTGATGTAGTGAAGATCTGAAGCTAAATCAGCAGGCAATGGATAGGGTAAATTATGTGTCAGAATTAATGGAGGAGGAAAAATGTATTAATAGAATAACTTTCTTGTTTTTTTTTTTTTATAAAGGGACACTGGTTATATATTGTTAGTAGCTTATGTGGTAGCTAATTATCCTGAAAGAATTATTTTCTAGTATGCACATTATATTGTGTAGGAAGGAACTATTGTGTAGTGAATAATGTAATTTTTGTAGTGTAAGTATATTGGGAAGGGATTGTACAGCAGGACACAAGACAGATTTTATGGCTGCTTTTGTTCTATGCTTCTATTTTTTAGAAGCTGTACTGAGCAAAAATACTGTTTAGTACGTGAATGGGGTGGAAATAGTAGAAATCAAGGAATGAAAGCATATAGGTGGGTAACAGGCTGAATTCTAAAAGCTTATTCTTTCTGATATTTTTATCAATTTCTACTTTTTTTTAAATCAAATTTCCAAACCTATATTTTTAAACTGTAATAACATTTGAGGTTTGTATATTTCAATATATCAACACATTTACTATTTTAACATTAAAATAACAATATTATTAAATTTAATGATATAGCACTTCAATATACATTGCCTTTAATAATATAATTTCATATTTAATATATAAATATTTTATAATATTTTACAATTTTATTCCAATCCTAAATATATCGTATTAAAGTTTGTTCATATACGCATTAGTCAGGTTCCTTCCCTTCCTCAGGCTCCAGCAGTCTGACAGATGAGTCAAGGCTAAATTAATGAAGATTAATACTACTGGTAACTTTGAGTAATTATCTCATTTTGATTGTCCTGCTTGATGCATCTTGCATTGGCGTGAGATTACCGTCATCCTCTTGAATGTTGCAAAATGATGCTGTTTCATGGCATTGAGCACTTTAGGTACTCAATTTATTTATCCAGATAGTTACTTAATATTTAGACCGTGGTTCCTAAGGCTGCTGATGCCATAACCGATTCTCATGATGCTGTTCCAGGCTTAGGCGCGGTTGAAAAGTTTGGAACTTCTTTCTTTAAAAATGAAAAAGGATAGTAAAGAAGTGGCTTTTTCGACAAGTCCTGCATCAGGACTCATGTCCCACTCCTTGTCTGAGAGCCTGTAATTAAATCGCAGAATCATAGAATAGTTAGGGTTGGATCTGGTGATAACTGATCCAGTTGTTGTAAAATGATTAATTTAGATGCTCTTTCCTTAAGGTTTGTTAATGAATACAGCATAAGAATGCTGTAGTTCAAGTGAATTTAAGGAGTTTTGGGCATACTGCTGATTTATTGCCCTGATTCTGCAGCATGCTAGTGTGGTTCTAGGAATTTGTACAACACAATGTCTTATATCTCTCTGCCACACTTTAATTAGTCTGGAAGTTCAGAACTTTACATGGTGATTGTAGTTGACTTCACTTCATCTTATAAATACTTAGTCCCCCAGAGCAAGACAGAAATAACATTTCTTTTACCTTAGTGTTCCTTCATATTAGTGTATTGGATAGTTAGAAATTTTTCGTTTGTGCATAGATACCAGTGCTGGACAAATGTTTAAGACATGGGGAAAAATCAGGAGATAAAGAGAAACAAATGATGAAAGAAAAGAATTGTAAAACAGGTCTATCATTTTTTTCAGATTTTATAAGCCATTGTATACTGACTGCAGTGGTAATGAACATGAATGGATGATACCTATTTTGGTAGTTTCAATTTAAAAAAAAAATGAGGGAGGCAGTGAGCAATATTATTTTCATTCTATTTTCAGCTAGTAACTACTAGCTAGTATTCTGTTTTCGGCTCTGCTTTAAAATGGCTTGGAAGCGACATGCTGTCCTTCCTTCCCCCAAGAAGGTGAATGTGTTTTGATAGCCTTTTTTGAACAATTACTTTCTTGACATTTGACTGTCACAAAAAAGGACATTGACTGACACCAGAGGGAGCTGGATTCCTGTATCCCTTTTCTTACCGAAGGGTTAGTTGTGAATAGAGCCCTATGAGACAAGAGAAAAACTTGTGAAAAGAATAAAGTGAATAATATATTCCTTAATTTAAAATAAAAATATAGCCTCTTATTTAAATAAAAAAACCTTGTGCCCTGTTAATAAAAATAAATGCCAGTGTGATGGACTAAGAAGAGCAACTAGTAATATTGGAGAGAATATGATTTGCCTTTTGAAAATAACAAATTTTGGTACATTTCTGGTCAACTAAGCAAGGTTTGCGAATACAGTAAATCAGGTTGGTTTGTTGGTTTTTTTTTTTTTTTTTTACTTATTTTAGTTTGTGACACTGTGTTCAGTGTTATGACCTATAATCATGTCTTTGATAATCCATTAAAAAAATGAAGTAGAATTGACAAAGAATGCACACACAGATGGCAACAAATACTGCATTATAGATGATGTATACATATATACATTCACATGTAGTATTCTTTTGAATGCAAGTTGTACTAAAAGCAAACATCTTGCTTTGCTTGGAAAAGCATTTAGTTAAAATACGCTTTAGGCTAAATAAAGAGACTGCCAACAGATACGTAGGTAGAGATGTTATGGTTGGCATTTTCATGTTAACACTTAAAACACAACAGGGTATTTTTAATTTATTTCCCATTTGAGGGTTAGTGTTCATAAGTATCTGCAGATTATTCCTGGCAGCATGTTTGTGGCTATATGCAACATATGAAAGATTTTTGAGTCAGATATTTGCAATTGGAGCGTATTAATGAGGTAAGTGAATTATAAACCTGATAAAATGGTATAGATAAAACAAACTGTAGTCTTAAAACACACCTATTAAAGAGAAATGATGAGATTTTAGAGACCTGCAATTTGCTTTTAATTCTATACATTAAATTTTATACTTTATTTTAATATTAATTTGCATGTCTGAATATTACATGAGTTGTCTAATTAAAATGAATAATATGAATATATTATCTGAAGTACATTAATTTTGTAGTAAATGTATATTAAAAGTTTAGTAATCTTTCTGTTAGTGAATTAAATTTTTAAAGTAATTTCACTTTTCTGAAGCACTCTTAATAGGTTCAGTAAGTTCAGGTTGTTACAAGTGATACTAAATGCATCTTTGATTTACTTACTTGAAATACAAATCTCTTTCAGGGCAAACTCATTTGGCTGTCTTGAGGTATGGTTGATTTTTTTATTTACTTTTTTTATTTCAGGTAAATATGCTGAAGATATATTTGGTGAACTTTTCAATGAAGCACACAGTTTCTCATTTAGAGTCAACTCCTTACAAGAACGTGTAGATCGGTTATCTGTCAGTGTTACACAGCTTGATCCAAAGGAAGAGGAATGTAAGTTAACTCCTGCATTGAATTTTTCTTATTTTTGTCACCAGACACCACTGATACCTGAAATGGAAATAATAATAGTTTAAATTATAAGAATACAAAGCAAAACATTAGTAGAGAGAGGTCTGTTTGTATTTCTGCTGCAGGTTTCTTTTATAGCCTTGAGCATCTTTCTGAGCTGAACATTTTCATGGTTACTGAACAGTAGTGTTACCAATGAATTTAATATTAGTAATACATTGTTTGAATGCTTGGAGATAAGTCTTCACTCTTTTTTAACCTTCCTACTAATTCCCATGGGATGTAACCATTTGCTACATTGGGGTTTTGCATTTAATTTGTTACCATCTTATTTACTGCAGCTTATGAAGTTATAGTTGTACAGCTCCATTTACTGATGCAGTATGTCCCCTTGGAGTCTTCCTAAATAGCTTTAAGAACTATAAATATCGGTTAGCACTGAGAAAACAAGTAGTGCCGAAAGTCAGTCAGGTATGTCTCATGCCAATAAGACAAAATTTGTATGGGATTTTAATGATGCATAGGCTTTGTGATGACTGCAGGAACATTGACCACCTAATTTACATAAATTTGCATAAATGCCGTGAAGCTTTTTTGCCTTCCTGGATATCTGTTGGTTACATATGGAACTATGAAAGGCCTTGTAATCTAAAACAGGTTTAGGGTGTTCTAGACTATATGGCTAAAGCCTGGACAGGAGAGCAACATCCAATCAATGAAAAATAACTTCAGACTTGTGAGATCCAATGTTAAAGTATAGAAAGCTGTTTCAGTTCTAACTGTCTAGGTATAATAGTTACATGTCATTCAGGAGTAATTGTCAAACCAGGAACGTGGTCTTCAGGCTGTCTCTCTGTATGTTGCAATTCACTAATAACAAAATTTAGCTAAGGAAGTATTTTGCATTACATTAATTTTAGAGCAGGTTTCAAAAGACAGCTGTTCTCAGCTAGTAGCAGATTTTCCACGAAATAGTGACTTGCCCAAGGGAATTCTTACATTAATGGGATTTTCCAAGTCTCTTGACAAGTGAGCATAAATCATGTACATGCACCTCTTTTCCAAATTGTCGTGGTTTAACCCAGTGGGCAGTTATACACCACACAGCCACTTGCTCACTTCCCCCTGCACACCATGTGAGGGGGGAGGGAAGTGGAGAAAAAAAGTAAAATCTGTGGGTTGAGATAAAGGCTGTTTAATAGGACAGAAAAGGAAAGGAAAATAATAATAATAATTAGAATATAGAAATAAGTGATGCACAATGCAATTGCTTATCCCCTGCTGACCACTGCCCAGCAAGTCCCTGAGCAGCGGCCTCTGCCTGGCTTTACCCTGAGTTTGTGTACTGAGCATGCCACTATATGGTATGGAATATCCCTCTGGTCATTTGGGGTCAGCTGTCCTGGCTGTGTCTCCTCCCAGCTTCCCGTGCACCCCCAGCCTGCTCGCTGGTGGGGTGAGGTGAGAACCTGAAAAATCCTTGACTTAGTGTAAACACTGCTCAGCAACAGCTAAAACACCCCTGTGTTATCAACATTATTCTCAGACTAAATCCAAAACCAGCACTGTACCAGCTACTAGGGAAGAAAATTAACTATCCCAGCTGAAACCAGGACACCAATAAAATACCATGTTTACTATTGATTGGACAACTACAAAAATCTTTTCTATATACAGTAACAAGTTGTTAACTATTGTCATCTTGTAATAGCTGTAGTATTCCAGAGTGTTAATGTCATATCTGTGTTTACCCATGACAGCCTTGGTTTTTAGTTTATATCAAAGTGGGATATATGTTGATGCGGTGTTTCTAGTGTGGCAGCCATTCACATTTCAGGAAAATGGAGAGACCGTTTTGAGTCACTGAGTTAAAGCATCTAAGGATGTTGCAGGATAGCAAAGTGAAAAATTGTGCTTTCCTGTGTAAATGGGCATTGACAAGTTTGGCTGTAGGTGTCAGTGCTAAATATCCGTAACTATATAATGTTAGAGAATTGCTAGAAATATTTTTAAATAGTATGTAATTCCCACTGCACCAGATCAGTAACTTTTCATAGTACTGTGTATACTGAACTGTATAGCTAAAGAAAGGGACAGACACTGCAGTTAAAGACAACAAGGCTGAAAAGGTGTCTGCTTGATCAAGTTGAGTGGTTAAGTGTGACTTGAATCTGATACTTTGGATCTGTCTCCTACGCATAGAATAGCAGTGACTGCTAGTACTTCAGAGGAACACATGCAGTCCTCAGTCAGGACCTATTAAATTACTATCTTTATTAACCTAAGAGTATTCAGTCCTTAACCCAGTGTTCCTTATTCACAAACGTCTGCTCAAAATGAGTCACCAGATGAAGACAAAGGAGATGAAAGGAAATTTCATATTATATTTCCTTAAAAGTGAGGGATCAGGAAACTATTTCTCCTATTTGGGACTTGAAATTTAGAAATTCATCACAAATAGTTTTGTTTTAGACGTGATCTGGGCTAAAATAGCTGGAGGATGTTAACATATGAAGGTGTGGGGAAAACATTTGATTTTACCTTTCTTAACCCTCCATGCAAGAATGAAACAAATTTCAGTCCTTCTGCTTAGCTAACAGCATGTGTCAAATAGGCTGTACTTGTAAAATGAGTATCATTTGCTAGCTCTTTGCCAGCAGGCAGTAACAAGTTTTAATGTGTTCCTCTGGGCTCATGTCATTACACAAGAGGAAGAAATTAAGATTCATTTAAAGCTAAGTGGCATGAACAAAACCAGCGCAAATCAGATTCATTGAACAAGTTGCAGATACTTGACAAGATGTTTCTGGTAAAGTCAGAGTAATAAAAAGCTCTGAATGTTTTTAATAATCTGTATGTTTTCTCATTTTGAATTATTACAATATCTTTCTGAAATAATAAACCAAATAAAACCAAGGTTAGGATTGTATCCTAACTCCTAGTGCACAATCTTTCTGTCATAGAAGAATTGCTGTGAACTTTGTTTAAATTATTTGAATTATTACACTGTTTTAAAATTCTTGATGTCTCATAATTATTCATTTTTAATTGTAATAATTTTTCTACACATTTTATTCTTTTTATATACATGTATTTTTTTCCCCTCAGAAGAAATACTAAACTTGCATGTAGACAAAAAGAAATCCTCTGCTTTCCTTAAGTAAACTGACTTTTATTTCAATTGTGTAGGAAACTAGTCTATATGTATTCAAGAGTTATCATATCGGGGGTCTTTTTAGGACTGGGAAAACATTTTCTTGCTATGAAGGTGAACTAAGGTTGATAGTTTCAGTGTCACTAGAATGTAAGATATCCTCCTTATAGGTCAGAAAATAAACCCCAAGAGTATAGTTTCTTGGCAACTATTTTTAATTTCAGTATTTACTTTATAGTGTTACTAACTCTTTCCATATATATGCAAATTTTATAATAATAGATTTTTGTGAATTTACCACATCTTTGTGAATTTATTTGTGTCATTAAGCTTGAAGTATTACTGCAAGTAAATAATTTCTGTATAAATTTTAAAGTTTTTAAAAGAATATCCACTTTAGCCTTTATGTTGTTCTTTTTTGAAATGCTCATACACAGGACAGCTCTGATGTGCAGTGTAATGAAGTATTAGAAAACAGTTGTGTATCACTCAGAGATAAATGGTATCATGGCAGAAGAAGAATTCATAAACTGAGAGTTATGTGCTTATTTTGGTATTATTCTAGTGGTTCGTTAATATGAACTGCCTAATTCTATTTAAATCTCAAACTGGAGAGGATTTTCATCTCAGCAGCAGGGTATCAAGTTCTTGATTTCTACAGCGTATCGGTTGTAACTGTGACAAGCAGCTTAAAAAACTTACTGGCAGAAGTGCTATGGGTGAGCAGCCTTTCATGCTTCTGGAATCAAACAGTGTTGTGAATTGTATTTCAGTGGGCTTCTGGCTTTGAATACATGTGCTTTTTTTTTTTTTCCCCCTAAGCATTCTAAAAATACTGCTTTGTCATAAGAAATACAGTATTTCAGAAGTTTTGCTGGATTAATGCTAAAGAGAAATTTTACATTTTGCTATAGGCAAAAAAGGTGGCATCAGATGGGCGAAACCTAAAAGGCTTGACAGCTAATTATGCTCTATACTGCTGAAAATGGGAGACTCGATCAACTTTCCAATGACAATACTCAATCTATTACAAGACTTAAAAGGAGAGGGTAGTAGATCCCATTTTGAAGGCCAGCTCACTTACTGTCTCTAGCCTCTGAAGAGGAATTTGGTGATTTGAGTATAAATGTAATCTAAGTTAAGAACAGGGACCACATGAAAATTAGGTCATGACCTACACATGTAATATCTTAATGTGGAGAACAGCAGTACTGCCAGTTCATTCATAAGAATTTTTATCCCCAAAGTTAAATAAAGAAAAAGATGGTTCAGTCATATAGAAAGTAACTTTTCCTGGCACATCTCCATGTAATGAAAGTTGGATTTCGGTATGCCTCCCTTTCAAAGATCTGTGCAGATGGGCTGAGCTCCAACTGCTCTCCATGCCTTTTCTCCCATTTTCTTATCACTCAATTCAATTTATGGGTTATTTATTAAGTAAATCAGTTTTAAATTAGTGTGTCCAAGGCTTAAGAGTTCAGTGGTAAAGCCATGATAGCATAATTTGTATTTTGTGTGGAAGAAGAGGGATCTGGACAAAATGTCATTTGTTAAATAATGTGGCAGTTCTGTTGAGACCACACTGCTTGATGCAGCTGGGTGATTTACATCTCCCCTAATGGGCTGCTCTGGCCTCTCTGGTTCTGTGTGCTGCATCTAAAGCAGCTTCTGAGTCCTCTTAAAATTACTGCTCTAACATTTACGTCCTCTCTTTGTTTACCTGTAATTAAGGTACACACATTCTCTATCCAAAGAGTACTTGAGCTGGTTTGGATTTTTATAAATAGATATTTCAGAAAATTTTAATTTCTTGTTAGGTTGTTTTAGGGACAACCTAAAAAGGGGAGTGGTTCCAGCAAAATAAGACTCTCTGCTTAGCACTACTATTAAACCTGGAGCAATCAGGCAGGGCAACATAATATGTGTGTACTTGTAGGCATTGTTGAAGTGGATAATCATTAAAAAAAGAAAATATATAATGTGGAAATCAGACTTCAAGATTACAGCATCTGCAGGAACTGAAATCTTTATCTGAAGAGAATTTTCAAACAACCCCCCAGTTAATTACCTTTAATTGGAATCTTATGACAAAGTTGCTAATTTGATATTGTCATTCTTCCTTCCCTGCACTTTTTAAATTGCTGGGCAAAATTTTGAACAGAGAAAGGGAACTGTGGACAACTGAGTCCATTGACTTGTATATCATTTCCTGTAGTCATTCAGTTCTGCCAGGAGTCATAGCTGTGGCATTCAAGATGTCATGGTCTTAAAACTTGTCAGGATGAAATTCTGACAGCGAAGTGTCGAGAGCTCTCCATTTTAAAAGGAATATACATTATTTCTTCATTTGCCATCTTTAGGAGAACTGTAATTTTCGGCCTAGAACCTCTTCATAAATTGTACATTGGAGTGAGTTTAAAAGAATAAAAAAAAAAAATCTATTAACAGTTTTTTTTCATCTGATGAGGCAAAATTAATGTAATTTTTAATATCCTTGAAATGTAAAAGTAGCTACTTTCTGTCAGTATGCTGATGTGCTCCATTCCTGACTTTTACTACAATTGGGTTGCAGTTTAATGAGAGGTTTAAGGGGAAGTAAAATGTTATTATATATATATATACTACAGATGTGCTCTTTAATTTAATTTGTAGTTCAGGCAAAAGAAACCCAGTTATTGTAGCATGCAATTTAAGGGTTTTTTTTTCCCAGTTCACTGCTGATTACAAATGAAAGCATACTGGCAGATTTTTTCAAAACCAAATATACAAAAGGTTGGTAGTTTAGCTTTCTGACAGAGAGACAGAAATAATTTTTAATTATGTAGAAAATATTGCTGTGTACAGAAAGTTGGACTGGCTGATATAATAGGTCTTTTTGTACAATCCAAACAACAGACACAGGAAAGATAAAATGGCATTTATTCAGTTTGTCGAATTAGTTTTTAACTTACATTGTGAACGTCTTAACATTTAAGGAAATCACTCCATTTTTCATTCATTGCAGTAAACCCAAGTGGTGTAGCAGATGGACTTTCAGGAAAAAGTATCGTATGAAATTTAGAATCTTGGACTATACAAAGGTTTTGGTGCTAGTTAGGAATTAGGCAACTGGAAGCTTAAATGTGCCAGCATCAAGTCAAATGCCTGCAGCATTTACAGCTCCTCCTTCAGTGTCTTGTCTCTTCTCACACCTGAATTCCTACATCCAGTTTGTCCTCTTGCTGTGCCAGGTTGTCAGTGAGCCAAAGCTGAGTGGCTGGATGACCAGCCAGGTTTTCACATACATTGCCCCCTGAGGTGGCAAGCCACAGAGGGCTTCTGTTTCTCAGCCAGCTGGCAAGTTAAACAAATGGCTTTGTAAGCCAAACCATTCACGGCCCAGGATTACATTGTGCTTGCAGCATGGGATTTACCTGATCCCTGTGTGTATGTGAGTTACATCAGTATCATGATTCTCAGTATGGCTTGTGCCATGTCCTCTCACTTCCTTAGCAATGTTGTCCTAATGTTGTCAGTTGTTTTGAAATAATGGCATGCTTTTCAGTGAATACTGGTGTTTAGATATCAGTGCAGCAAATTCTGTTAGCTGTTTGAAATTCTACAGCATATGTTTTCTGTGAAGACCTTTTCTTTGTAGCTTAGCTTTATAAAGAAAGTGATCTACACTTACTGTTGGGAGTTGGTTGATTATCCTCAGGTGTGTTACTCTCCTTGTATATGCTTTCAGAAAGTGGAGATTTAAACAAGAAAATGGATATTATGAATTAGACTGGCTCTGTTTGAGTCATGGAATGGTTTGGGTTGGAAGGCACCTTAAAGATATCTTGTCCCAACCCCCCTACCATGGGCAGGGATGCCTTCCACTAGACCAGGTTGCTCAAAGCCTCATTCAGCCTGGCCTTGAACACCTCCAGGGATGGGGCAGCCACAGTTTCTCTGGGCAACCTGTTCCAGTGCCCCACCACCCTGAAGAGATTAAGGACTGCTAATAAAGAGTTAATAGAACAATGTAGGTCTCAGTAATACGGTGACACATACTCTGTGAGCATTTTAATATTAAAACAACTGTATTTATTGGAGTACATTTCATTTGCCTCATTGCCTTAAGAATGCACACAGGTTCAAAGAGAAGTATACTAACTTTCATTTTTGTTGGCATAGTCTCTAGTAAGTGACAGTCGCTTTAAAGACTTGCAGGATTACCAAGCAACTCTGAACAAGTACATTTGGTAAGATTTGTAAAACCAACAACCTGCAGGTAAAACAGCTGAAGTACAAAAGAATCTAAGACTAGGGTTTTAGATGAGGTAAAAACTGCTTCTTCTAGTTGTGAATAACCTATACTTCATGACAGGTACTAAATATGTAGGGTTATTTATGGGTGCAAAAATACCTGGAGAAATTGGGAGTTCTGGCTGACATTCATATATAATACTTCTTTCACATACTTAAAAAGACTGCTGATAAGCTAATTAAAGGTATTAAAAGGAATGAAAGACACTGTAATGAAACAGAACCTTAGGGTAAAAAGGAGGAAACTTCTCCATAAACACAAAACCTTGCCAACAGTAATAAACTTCAGAAGCTGAAAATCAAATAAATCCCATCTTTAGCCTCACAAATGATGCTGCCAATATGCTTAGGTAAGAAGATAGAACATTCCATGCAATGCAAGCCCTCTGGAAAAAATCCTGCCTTCTGCTGCTTTGTGATCATACAGTAGAAATCTAGCTCTGTGTGTACGTGTGTATGTTACGGGAACCAGAGTAAAATGCAGCTTTCAGCTTAAACAGATGCACTCTCTTAAAAAATAGTTGATGAAGGCCCCAGTGATATGGGAGAGAGGGGATGTCCTCTCATCTTGAATAAAGTGGCACTACTACCAGCCTGTTTGTATAAAATAAACATAAAAATACTCCTAACTACTGTGCTTAAAAACTCAAAGTGTCTCACCTGAATTGAACAGAGAAGACTCATCTTGATTAAAGAGTCTGATTAAAACCAGCGTTTGACTCGTTTCATGTATCGGAACACAGTATCACATCCCATTCAAACTCACTGATAGCAGTAGCATAAGCTTAAGTGATCTGGTTTGACATCTCAGTGGGCCATCAGTGGAACTGCTACCCACGTGTAAGGAATGCAAAGTTTGGCTTGCTGGTAGCGTAAAGGTAAAATCTATACCTAAAGATAGAGAGTAACTTTTTAGTACCAAAAGAATTGTGAAAAGGAATTAGTAAATGTTGTTAGGTACTTCTGAACTACAGAATAATATTTTATAGCTACAGCAAGCAATTTGTTGAACTACTTTGGGGAGACAGAGCTCTGATACCTATCCATGTGAGCAAAAATTTCCTATGAAGCTAAATGGAGGATAATGTAAAATAACCCTGATACTGGTGCTAGATGAATTTATATCTGCTGTAAAATTTGAAGGATACTAGTAGCAATGCTTAATATTTATATTCCAGTCAGTATTATGCAGTTCCAGATTAATCCAAATAATAAGCCATTTATGATTATTTTTTTTTAAACGGCAATGTGCCCTTTCAGTGTCACTGCAGGACATTACAATGAGGAAGGCTTTCCGGAGTTCCACAATTCAAGATCAACAGTTGTTTGACCGGAAAACTCTGCCTATTCCTTTGCAAGAAACTTACGACATTTGTGAACAGCCTCCTCCGCTTAACATTCTCACTCCTTACAGGTTAGTAAAATAAAATGAATCTAAACTAATTTCTAGCTTATTTTATGTAATAGAGATGCTATATCCAGGCACATTGCTCATGTTGATTAGCACTTGAATATTTAAGGAGCAGGCTGGAAAACTGTAAAGGTGCTGGAGGAATACAGGCAGCAGAAGACATTATAAGCATTAAAACTTTACTTTACTCAGACTTCACCCCAGCATAACGATGGTAAGAAAAAGACATTTTTATTGCCTGTATTTATGGAGCTGTGTAATGCTCTTGGATGCAAAGCAAAGAAAATAAGCAGTTAAGCATATAGAAAGAAAGCTCTTTAATGGAAATGTTGTTTGCTGTCCCAAAGTCAATTTAAATCATTAGTTGGAACCAGAGCAGCCGCACAAATTCACACATTGTTTTAAGAGCAAGATTTGAGTCACTGGAATGGGAGTTCTCTGATTCACGATACTCTTTTCATCTGCAGGTTACATTAAAGTTCCTTTTCTAAAATCAGGACCTTGAATAGAGGGAAAGCTAGTAAAGAATAATGGCGCAGGAGGTCAATGTTCATCTTTTTACTGTTCTTCAGTAAAATATTTCAGGGTCTGAGATACTAGGCCATTCCCTAATGTTTGGATTCGTGTGTTGTCCAATAAATAATATGCTGTGTTTGCATCACTGTATTTCAGGGATGATGGAAAAGAGGGTTTGAAGTTTTATACAAATCCTTCATACTTCTTTGATCTGTGGAAGGAAAAAATGCTGCAGGACACTGAGGACAAAAGAAAAGAAAAGAGGAAGCAGAAGGTACGTATGTGAGTTTTCTATAGCTTCTGGTGTTTCTTCCTTGAAAGGGTTTGCTTGCACATGTAACACTTTTTTGGTTATGCAATTAATAACAATCCAAACTTCACAGAGTCATCTTCATTCTAAGAAAACTACTTGTATTCAATTCTGTCAACTTTAAGAAATAAATATTTAATAATTAGTAAAATAATATAGAGGGGCCTAGAGCTTTCATGCTGTCCTAATGTAACTAACATCAGGCTTGCCAAAACTTTTAAGTTTTCTAGCAATTGCTCAGAAAGGAGGAAAAAAAAGAGGAATACAGCAAGAATAAAGAATTTCAGTGGAACCTTTTTTTATAATGCAAAATTCTGAAAATCTCACAGGTGAAAAATCTTGAACAACATTCTAATAGGTATGTTTCCTCTAAAAAAAATAATAGGAATCGAGCAATATGTTTATATTTTTTGAAAATGTTCCAAACACTTTTGCAAAGGGAATCTACTTTCTTGTTCTGCCATTATTATGTACATTTCAGACACAGAGACAGTAAATGTGTCAGATTTATTCTTTCAGACTTAGAATAAAACCCTACCTATACAGTTATTTTTCTCTGTATTATTCAGCTAATTTTCCACTACACTGAAGTTTTTTACAAGTCATTTTGCTTTACATATATTTAGACTGAAAGTAAATTTTTCTTGCACTTGAATTGGGATTGGTTTTCATTATTTTGAAGCAAATGTTTAAATGCGGCTAATCAGAAAGCACTGTCTTAGCTGTCAGTTTTGTTTGCACAACTCTCCTACAGCAGAAAAATCTGGATCGCCCTCATGAACCAGAAAAAGTGCCACGGGCACCTCATGACAGACGGAGAGAGTGGCAGAAGTTAGCCCAAGGCCCGGAGCTTGCAGAAGACGATGCTAACCTCTTACATAAGCACACTGAAGTTGTTAATGGCCCAGCTTCACATTTTGAATCAAGGTCCCTTTTTATTATTTCTGTCCTTTATTAAGTACAGATATTCATACAGCATGGTGAACAAGTCTGAAAAATGGTAAATGATGAGATGTTACTGCTATTCTTGAGATGTACTGGAAATCACTGATTTAGCTCAGTCAAACCTCAGTAGTTACTATCTTGTTATTTTTAATAGCAGTGTGTATTCTTGGAATTCATTGTATCCTTGAGGATGTGTTGTCTGCATTTTGAAGAAGGTGTAGTGTCACTGTTGCAATCTTGCACCCATGTGTGTCACTACATTCAAGTCTTGACCTACAAAATGCCTGTTATTCCAGTCTCTTGATTTTAGTGCAGCAGACACTGGCAAGACTATATGGTGGGTGTGATGTGAACAAACGTCTTCTTGGAACTCAAATGAGAATGCTGTGCTTCTCTTTACTCTTGAACAAATCCAAGATTTGATTGACATTTCTGCTTATACGCTATTACAGAATCAAACCTGTTGGAGTCTCATTTCACAGTACATATTTGCTGGTGGTTAAAAGTAGCATTTCACATGGTAAACACCTGCTGTGTTTATGCTTCTGGTGTTTGTGCAAAACCAAGTCCATTTTACCAGCCAAGAAATGTCTGATAGGAAAGAGGGCTGACAAGTAATACAGGAGTCTTAGGGGTATGTTTCTGAGGGTTGGTTGGTTGGTTTTGGGTTTTTGTGTTTTTTTTTTTTAATTCCAAAGTATTCATTGTCCTCCAAAAAAAGTTGTATTTTTCCCTTATCCTTTTCTGGCCAAAAGCGCACCCTAAGAAAGTATTTTATTTAGCTTTGTAAGGTCTTCAAACTAACTTAATAGTGACAGTGGATAATTATGATAACTCTAGGTTTGCTGTCTGAAAAATGGGAAAACCTGCTTATAGAAAACTTGGCTCAATTCAGAAAATGAAATGGACTCACTGCATTTCGCTCAATAGGGTACAACTCAAGTTGCGGTTACAAGCATTTTAATGGAAACAACTTTATAGTGTCTTATCTTTGTAAGCTGCTGTGTCACACTGTTGGCAGAAACATATGCTTTCCCCCTGTCCTTCTGTTGCGTTGTACATCAAATTCCATATATGCTGTTGCAGGATACATACATGTTGCAGATTCCCCATACTTGTTGCAGGATTCCTTTTATGTCCAGGACCCTGTCTGAAAACTTGATTATCTCAGTACTTATGCACTTAGGTTGTAGTGTACTACATGTGCAGAGCAGGTTGTTCAGATACAAAACAGCGCCATGGTTTTTCACCCCTGAAAAATTTAATAGACCTAGATACTACAGTGGTGGCAGTGTATGGAAATGTAGAGTATTACTTTACTTTTTGCAAAGAGAAATCTTTTTGAAATCTTTGCATACTTGAGAATTTCCTCACTGATCAGGACTTGACATGTTTCAAAAGTTGTCATTAACAAGAAAGTTAAATCATCTTTATTTGCTACTACTATTCAATAATAGATATTTAGATTATCTTTCTTATATTCATTGCATAGCTATAAAGTATTAGGTCTTGAAGTAATGAGTTCTCCGTATGTCTTCTGACAGAAGTTCAGGTAATTATTCAGTTGTTAATTTTACTGTTCTAACATTGATGAGTGTTTCATGAATGTTACAAAAGAATATAGTTGCATATATATAGGGATCAAGGAGAAGAAACAATGAGTATAATTTCTGTTTCATAATAGATTCTGGTATATGTATACTTCTGATTGTATTGCTCTATTTATTTAACTCAAAATAGTGTGACTAATAAACACTAAGATCACACACATACTATAGAAGTTGTGTGATATACCTGTCAAAATCATTAAACTCTTGAAGCTGCTAGAAGCAATAGCATAGAAAGTGGGATAAATTATTAAAAAGCTATGAAGTACAATATGCAGCATTGATGCAGAGAAGATACGTGAATACAGAAATCAAACTGAAGTATTGAACAGTAGCTCAGGGTGCTAATACTTGCTTTTACTAAAGGTTAGGTTGGGTCATTTTTCACTGTTTTCCTACAGATCTCAAGCATATGTGGACCATATGGATGGATCATATTCACTTTCTGCATTACCGTACAGCCAGATGACTGAACTTCTGAACAGAGCCGAGGAGCGAGTGTTGGTCAGACCACATGAACCACCACCGCCACCCCCGATGCATGGAGCAGGAGATGTGAAACCTGTGCCACCTTGCGTTAGGTACCTGCAGATTTATTGGGGAGTTTTAGTTTTCCACCACCCCGCTAATAGTCATTAGTATTATTCCCATGCAGCTCAGGCAGGACACACGTCCTGGGGACAGTCAGTTGACAGCCCTGATACACGGGCAGATGCAGGCCCATATAGGAGTTGGAGAGAAAGGTTAGCATCTAAACCCCCTAGGGTGCCATTGTGGAGACCTTGCCATTAATATTGAGACTGTGTCACCTTCTGAGCTATATGCATGGAAAATATTTCTGTGAAAGATGTTAGAATCTCAGGATATAGCTTTGGTATTTTTGAATTGAAAATCTGAAATTTGTACAACAGATTTGTGTTTCGGCCTACATGAAAGGAAGCATATATGGCTGTAAGACAGCTGTCAAAACTGTATATTTATCATATTTACTAAATTGCAAATGCCTTTTTTATTTTTTTAATTCCCCTTAATGTTCTTATTTTTTTATTTCGCTGTGCCTTTCCAGGAGTGGATACATAGTTAAAGTATTTTCTAGACTGAGGCTCTGATTGTCACTCCCGTGTTGTTTTATACCCAAAATTTTACTTTATGGTCAGGTACTTAAAGCTCAGAGTAGGGGACAGTTAATTCAGACATGGTTGTTGCAATCAGCAAGATGTGTTAGAAAGAATGTCTTTTTACTGTTCAGAAGATTATACACAGAAATGCATAACTCTTTAGAGTAATTTTCCACAGCAGCTGAAAGAAATCTTTTAGTGGTCTTTCAAGAAAATAATTCTCCTGTTCCCTTTTGTTTTATTCAATTTACCTGCTCATTGCACTATGAGTATCTAGCATATAAGTATACCTGTCTGTACATAGAATCGGTGACCTTTGATATTAGCCTCACTCATATTGTCATCAAACCTTAAAATATGTATTTTGATGTAACTAATCCTCATTGCCTGTACTGTTCTGTTTTTAAAGTTCTGTGAATCAAAGCAGTTAACCAACCAGCAGTTCCCTTACTTCAGAAAAATTATTTGGACTTACTTAGAGATGGGAGGAGGGAATTACACTAGTATAGGAAACCTTTGGTAAAGATGCAGGTTTGCATAAGAGCTTAACTCAGTTAATAGCTGAATTTGAGCAAAGGCCTGGTGGAAGATTGATGTATATTTCATACTGAGAGTTTGATTTCCTTCTCTATGTTATAAATACCTTGAAATCATCATAGTATGTAATGCTCTTTAATGCCCAGCATTTAATATTCTTAAGTTGCAGAAGTGAATCTACTACTTTGTTGGTTTTGTTTCTGTAATTTTTTTACACTCTCCAGATCTAATAACTGTCCCGTTGTTCTGTGTTTCAGTTCTACGACTGGCTTGGTAGAAAATCGTCCTCAGTCACCAGCAGCAGGCAGAACACCAGTGTTTGTGAGCCCCACTCCTCCTCCTCCACCGCCACCACCTCTTCCATCTGCTTTGTCAACTTCTTCACTAAGAGCTGCAATGACTTCCACCCCTCCACCCCCAGTTCCACCTCCTCCACCTCCTCCCACAGCTGCTCTGCAGGCCCCAGCTGTGCCACCTCCACCAGCTCCTCTCCAGATAGCTCCTGGAGTCCTACATCCAGCGCCACCTCCAATTGCTCCTCCCCTAGCACAACCCTCTCCTCCTGTCACTAGAGCTGCCCAGGTGTGTGAAACTGTACCAGTTCACCCAGGTCCTCCACAAGCTGAAGTACAGGGACTGCCTCCACCACCACCACCTCCTCCCTTGCCGCCTCCTGGCATTCGACCCTCTTCTCCTGTCACAGTTGCAGCCCTTTCTCATCCTCCTCCTGTTCTGCACCCTCCTCCTACAACCATTGTCCCTGGCCCTCATGCTCCCTTAATGCCCCCATCTCCACCATCCCAAGTGATTCCTGCACCTGAACCCAAACGCCATCCTTCAACTCTTCCTGTAATCAGTGATGCTAGAAGTGTTCTGCTGGAAGCAATACGGAAAGGTAAGGTTTGGCTATTAAGGGGCAAAAGGAATGGTCTCAGCCACTTGCTAAGTACACATTCGCTTTGAGAGATGGAATATTTCACATGTGTAAGAAGTTAGAGGAATGCATCTTAAGTCTGTTTCTGCTTTCTATTCTCTACAGCATATGCATTGCCAAGTAGATAGATTTTTCCAGTTTGTAGTTGTGCTTACCAGATGTTTAGTTCGGATGCAAAACTGGTTCTCTGTGGAAGTTAGATTTTTAAAAAAAAAGTACATGTGTTTATAGATGATCTGTCTAGATTATCTCTTCATTTCTGTTTACCTAAAAGTGCAGCTACTACTGATAACCTGCAGATTGCATAAAAGACAAAAACCTTGTTTCTCACAGACTGTTAGGTAAAAGAACAGACCCATTGGCATTGGAATTTTGATCGCATATCAGTGTATTACAAGCACATATAAATGGCATTCAGAAATCGTTTAAGACTTAAAGCTGTAAAGTATCTATTCTTGACATGTCTCAATGCAGTAGTAAAGCAGTCTTCATGTTGCAAGATGCCCCTCTGACAGTGCAAGGGAATGGCACAGGTGCAGGGCAGTGAAAAAAAACGAAAATGTGGGTGTATTTTTAACGAAAAATATGAGACAGGATATTATAGTAGAAGGATTGATCAATCTGGTCTGCCACTGCCGTTCTGACATTCCTCTCTTTCAAAACTTGATGGAGAACTTGAGGTGGACAGTGTCCACAGCCTTCATTTTTGTTTGCAAAGGGTTGTGTGAATCATGAGTTAAATACTTTGTATAATGCTAAAGGAGGAAAGTAACATGTTTGTGATTGGATGTTCTTCAGGTATTCAGCTACGCAAAGTTGAAGAGCAACGTGAACAAGAAGCTAAACATGAGCGCATTGAGAATGATGTTGCTACTATACTTTCTCGACGCATTGCTGTGGAATATAGCGATTCAGAAGATGATTCAGAATTCGATGAAGTGGATTGGTTAGAGTAAAATTATTACATTGCTGTACTCTGCAAAATCGAATGCTAATGTCCATTGTGGTGCTTGTTCTTTGAAAGTTTGATGGTCATTTCTAGTGGTTTTTGTATTCTTTTCTTTACATAATTAATCCATGTTTTTCTACTTTTCTGTTTACAAAAAGCTCCTAGTGCATCTTTGAAACTAAATGTTTTACAGTGGCTTTCTTACACATCTTTTTTGAAAGAACATACTTTGTTCCAATAGACCACTAAGTATTAAGCATGGGCAGCTGTTGGTAGAGTAGCAGTTTCAATTTTTTGGCATATCTTAACTGTGCACTTTGTGAATTTTAAGTTAATGAAGGCAACTGAGATTGACATTCCAAGGGCAGCTGTATGTACTAATGAGCCTTATTCCACTTCTGATAGAGTTTTAAAGCATTAAACCTAGCTATCAAGATATCACTGCCTCGATTACATCTGTACACTAGAAGTACATATAGTTAGCAGCACTGAACAGACTGAAAGGAAAATGGGTCTTTTGGGGGTTTTATTATTGTTTTATTGTTGTTTTTAAATAATTATGGCCTTATTTGAATGTTTAGAGATTCCCTTCCCTCCCAGGTACATATTGTGTGGTACTATTTTTGCCTGCATAATAAAAGTTTAATTTTTTTTTTCCTTGTGAAATCTTTTGACTTAAACATGCTGTGTAACTTATGTAACTGTTAAAATAACAGTTTGGTTTAATAAATGGGTCATTTTAAATGTTCCTGGTTGTTGCATTTTCAATGGAGCCTGCTTTTCACTGGTATACCTGGGGGTCCTTGCATTTCAAAGATTTTATCTGTGGTCTACAAAGTTACAATAAACATTCTTTGCTTACCCAAGGATCCATATTAAATAAGAAAGCATCTGTCATCACATTATACCTGTATGCATATCTACCAAAAAAAAAACAAAAAAAAAAAGCAGAAATCTTACTGTGATTTGTAACCCCCAAAAACCCCCCCCCCCCCAAAAAAAAAAAAATTGTAGTTTGTGGCTTATAGAATTTAGGGTTGGGGTTTTTTTATAAAAAACTTTACCGTCAGTGTATCTTGAGAAGGGGAGAAGCAGCAGTCAAAATCATGGTTAATGAAAGATGACAACATGAGTGATACTGCAAAGTCATTTTTTAAGTGCTGTCTAGCAGTACTGCATGTTGTGCAGGGCTTTGTGTTTCCCTTCTCTGGAATAATTCCTTCCAAGTCTGAGCCCACAGTCAAAAGCCTATTGAGAAGGAAAGTGTGGGAGTGCAAGAGCACTCTTACCTTGAAGCTTGTGCCTAGAAGATGGAATTGTGTAACAGAAGAAAACAAGTGTTAAAAGTCAGAAGATTTCTGAATGTGGAACGTGAAATGTTCTACTGGCTACAGAATAGTAGCCCCTACAAGGGCATGTGGTTATTAACCTACTATTGGGACTGGGCAGAACTCCAGAGGTACAGTCTGGAGTAGGAATACCATACAGCAACCCTTCCAACTTTACTGTCACCATCTCAGCCTTCACTATAATCTTGTACATAGCTTACTGTATTCAGGGCTTTTTCCTCTGCAACAGTAATGCCTTTGTTGTGTTTGTGGGAGAAAAGTCATTGTCAAAATTTGTGAATCTGCACCTTCATAACTATGGAAGCAGCTCTCTATATGTGCTATTCTCTTCCATAGTTGTTTTCACAATAATGCCATGTGGTTCATTCTGCCATTCTCAGTTAACTTTCCAAGTGTATTTCCTTCTTAATATCTCCTCATAATGTCAAAGAAAAGATGTCAGAAGCACCACAGCAGGAATATTTCATGGTGTTCAGTCTAGGTGTTTCCTTGGATCTCAGCAATCCAAAATTGCTAAATCTGGCCCAGTAACTCAATGAGGGAGATCTCATTTACGCAGCTGTAGAGGATTATGATCTTCAAGCAAAAGCGCAGTACACACTCCTGCAGATACCTTTAAGCAGGGAGCCAGGTCTACACATTAGGCAGCTGAAAGAAGAGCTTGTGCTGGAATTCCGCTTGTAGGTAGTTCTGCCATTCACAAAATCACTTTTCAGTTGATGTTTATACCTGCTCCTTGCTGAAGTTTAAAAAAAAACTGATTTTCCTGGTGGATGCTCCAGACAGCAGCGTGCATTATCACTCAAACGGAAGAGCAGCATGTCAGTGTCCAGGCTGTAACTGTTCAAGGTAGAGGATCTCCTCATCACACTGTCACGCCTGCACAGCAAGCGTGCTCTGAGTGCGTTCAGGTGCTGTGAACTGGGCATCACTTGTCTAAAGGAGACAAGTTAGCAAAAGAAAAGAAAGGAAGGGAGAGAAAAAAAGCAAAAAGGCCGTTATGTGACTGCAGCTATCACATACTGGGCATGAAAGGTATGAAAAAAATTCCTTACTGACAAACAGTTGCTCTTGACCTGCTTTGCTGGCCTGGCAATTAATAATATCCCTTCCAAACCAGTACCCAGGGCAGACAAAGCACTCATTTAATATGACACAGTCACAGGAAGTAATGAACCTTGTCTGAGAGAAGTCAAGAGTTAAATTCAGTTAACATTTGAAAGGCGGGATTCCTGGCCTTCTGCCACTGCTCCAGCTTTCTGCCATAGCAACTAGTCTCCAGATAGCAGTAGCATGAATCACTAGTAGCGAGAGGTGACTGTGAATTTGAATATTTGCATTTATAGATCTACCCCCAGCGATGCATTTGCAGTCTCAGTGATTTGTGTCCCTCGTACTGGAGTCTCCAACAGCCCTTCTCTTTTGGTGGAATGCTGTGCAGACGGCTGCTGGGCTATTCGTGCCTGTGATTAGATGTGTAATAGATTATTGATTGCTTTGTCTTGGAGGGTACTAAATCAAGTCTTCGGTATTGAACTGTTACAGAGGCTGTTGTTTACTTCTGTACCTTTACAGCAGCTGGTTAAAATCAAAGGCTTAAAGTCTGCCACAAAAGTAACGCACCAGTAATGTTCAGTGTAAGTGAAGAGAAAACTTTGTCCAACTTCATGCTTCTCTTCATGTCCCATAATCAGAGACAATTAAAAATTATCTACCTCTCCTACTGCAAAATGAGGGGGAAAGAACAAAATTAAAAGTGTAGAAAGAAGAAACAAAAGGCACTTGGTGGCAGAACCAGAGCAGAAGACTAGGGACGTGCAAAATGGTAAAGTAGTAACAATGATGCAGCCATCATAGACCAAAAATCAATAGGTAAGTGGAAGTGAACAAGTACCAAAGAAACAAAAATTACAAAGAGATATCATTCTGGTTTGTTTTTCAGTAGTGTCCCCTGAACAGCAACCATTAAATACTAGATATCATTAAGGGATTATGTTAATTAATCCCATTAAATTGGGATTTAAAAAGCAGGAGGTATTTTAAAATAGACCTTTGATTGATAAGATCATCCTTCCGTGTGTGGGGCACAGGGGTGCACTCTTCTGCGTTCAGGTGGACACTGACACACCACTGCCTGTCTGATGAATGCACAGACTAATGTAGATGGTTCACTCTCCCTGCAGAGTGCAAACCAGTACCGGCAGCCCCAGATCTCTGTGATGGGCATTCTCCACAGTGCTGGGATCTCAGCTTTTATGCAGCTGCCACCCCTGAAGTGCATCCCTGCTTGCTTTACCTGGTGGCCTGCTCTGAGCATGTGTACAGACTCTGGTGGGCTGTGTCTCCCCTGCCTGTGGATCACCGTGGGCAGGGGGTGTCAGCACCAGCTTTGGAGCATGGTGCAGAAACCCCTGCCCAGCAGCAAGGCACGGCTCCACAAAGCTGCTAGCTCACAGCAGAGTACCCATAGCAGTGCAGTCAGCAGCCAGGGCCCCAGAACCCAGCGTCTGCACAAACCAGAGCACTTCCGAGGAGACACCAAAGCAAAGCCTCAGCGCAGCCTCTGCAGCCCAGATCTGCATCAGCAGGGATATGATGGAAATTCGACTCGAGCTCCATCAAGTGTCTGCTCTGTCGCCTCAGCTACAGGCTAAGAAAGACTTCCTCTCATTCTCTTTTGCAGGTGGCAAATTGAACACCAGGAGAGGACTCACAGCCAGACGCCAGGGGCAGCAATACCATTCTCCCTTTTTAGGGGCACTCAGACACTTTTTCCCTCTCCTTTCCACTCCTGGCTACTTTTCCCACTTGGCTGATTCCTGGGGGTTGTAGCCTGCCTCAGGAGACTTTTCACACATCCTTTGTGGCTGCAGCCAGTACAGACCTTACTGATTTCCAAACTGCTTCTGGGGTACATCACCAGACCTTGGTAGGTGTTAGTGTCCCCCCGTTCGCCCCTTGAGCTGCTTGAGACAGTGCTCCCTAACCCGCTCCAGCTGTAAGGACCTGGAATAACCTTTTCCCATGAGCTATGTAGCTGTCAGCTCTGAGAGCTTAATGAATGTCTGGCAGCACCCCACCAGGCGGCCGCAGAGCAGCAGGCGGGAGATGGGAACCTCATCCCCATTCCAACTGCTGCTAGAAGAGAAAACACGGACAAGTGCCAGTAAATGGTCACTGCGGTACGGAGCAGACCCCACGAGGGTGAGGCTCAGCAGCCCATCGTGTTCCCATTGGAGCAACAGACCCAATATTGTGCAGCCCATGGTTTTTCTTTGATCCCTGCCGCGCTGCAAGCAGATGTCTTTCTCCCTTGCTAGCCCCTTTGCCTGGAGAATGGTTCCTACCACGTTAGTCATCACTCATGCTCCCAGAGTGCCAGCAGCCTGTGACAGCAGCATCAGGAACAGCCTCCACAGAAAACTGCATCTGTCCCATTTCTTTGAAATTATTTTCAGAGTTTCTGCAGGCTTTAGGCAGTTGCTCCAGCAGCATTCCTGTGGGGAACTGGAAACAGCTGGGGATGGATTAGGGCAGGTATTGAGCATCTCTCGCCAAGCAGGGCTGAATATTCCCCTCCTCACATTTCTCTGATGGTTGAATGGCTTCACTTTCAGACATAAGATAGCTGAGGACCCCTTACAGACAGATTGTTTCCATTTTCCTTTCTCCCTATTTAATGCCTTTAATGACAGTGTTATTACAAAACCATGACATTTTAACCCAGATTCATGGCAGGAGCACTCCAAGAAAAGCTTCAAAAATTACCTCCTTTCAGTGCAGTTTTAAACTGTGTTTTAGCCACTTCCACTTGTCTGCAACGCATTTTCTTCACCACATTCTAGAAACTTCAGAACAGGGCTCCTTGCCTCTGGCCTCCCCACTCATTCCCATGGGGCAAGCATCCATAGTCAGTGCCATATTATCACAGCTTGGTGTTGTGCTTCAGTACCAGCAGAAATAACTCCAGCAAACTGCCCAAGGCTTCTAACCTCACGAGAAAGCAGCCTCCTGGTGTAGCCTTGGCACTGCCCATTCATGCCAAAGCCAAAACCAGTCTGTAAACATCAGCAGGAGGACATGTGGCCAGCATGGCCTTGTGCAGGGATGCTGGGGACCATCGAGCAGCCAGGTCTGGGGGCTGCCCTCCACCACTGTGTCTTCTGGGTTTTAAAAGCACAAGGAAGCTGGCAGTGATCCCAAGTGGGACATGTGTTGCCCAGCATCGTACTGCAGGAGTCCTGGCAGTAGTTCAGAGGTGATTAATTAGAATAAAACATTAGGGTAACTGCTTTGCTTCTCTATATTCTGTTCTCTGCTGTGCCCCAGCTCCTGCTGGGAGGAGTTTCAGTACAGATGATTCATTTTGGGATGAATCAGAGGTAGAAAGCAGCGACTC